ATCCATCCATCCATCCATCCATCCATCCATCCATCCATCCATCCATCCATCCATCCACCCACCCACCCATCTGTCCATCCATCTACCTATCCACCCATCCATCCATCCACCCACCCACCCATCTGTCCACCCATCCACCCACTTATCCATTCATCCACCTACCTACTCATTCATCCATCTGCTTTTGAGACAGAGTCTCTCTCTCTATAGTACTGGCTGGCCTGGCTTACTGTGTAAATCAGGATGGTCTGGAACTCAGAGACTTGCCTGTCTTGGCCTCCCAAATGCTGAGACTAAAGGTTGTATGCCACCACACTAGACTCCATTCAATTTAACATTTATGTAAGTGTGTATGCTTTAATCACTTTTAGGCATATTACAAATTCTTTTTAATTTATAGTAATTTGTTTACAAAGAGGAATGGAAGTAGCTCTTTTGTTATATGTGGAACAATACCCCAGCCAGGTTTAGCAGAGATGATCCACAGTTGGGATTGAGGAGAGTTGGTTGGAAGAGATGTTTCTATGGATCCAGTTCAGCAGGGCTGCCCTAAGGAGGCAGTGCTTTTAGACTTGATGGCTCAGTTGGCTGATTTGAACAAGCTTAACCGACATGCCTCCAGCTTCGGTAAGCCTTTCCATAGAGCTCAGTGGTCCTCAGACAGTGGGGCTCAGAATCACTGGGGCACACTCGCAAAGATGCAGCTCCAGGTTCTCTCCTACACTGAGAAACCTGGCTCTTTGTGCTCCTAGCTCACTGGCTGATGCCTGCCCACTGCAGTTTAAATCCACCCTCCCTCCGTCAGGGTTTTCAAACTGTCCTGAGGATCACACTCACCAGGATGGGACATGTACAGTGCTGGGCCAGGCCCAATTTCTAACGTATTAGGGCCAGATCACGTGCATTTCTCACTCTCTCCAGGGGACACTGGTGCTGTTGGTCCAGGGACCCTACTTTGAGAACCACAGCTCCGCCTCTATTCCTTCAGTAGCCAAAGGGTTTGAACGTGAGACATGCCAGAGTCATGCAGCTAATTAAAGACAGCACTGAGGCCAAGTCCACATCTCCTGTCCCAAAGCCGAGTGCTCAGTCACTGCAGATCTTGGGCCTCACCGTCCTGATATTGGTCATCGCTTGTACTTTGTGGTTTATCAAGTGTGTTCACCAGTTCATTTTTACTCTTACCTTCACAATCATTTCACCAGATTTTGAGGGCAGGAACTATCTAACTTTCATTTAGATACAGAAACCAGAGCTTAAGGGGGTTCAGTGAGTTTCCTGAAGTCAAGTAAGTTTGTTAAAAATGACTCAGACAGAGCTTCTACTTCCAAAGCTGATACTGTTTATTACAGTGATCAGAAACAGCCTACTACGTGCCAGACATGGATGTAAGCACATTACACATATTAATTTATTTAATCCCCATAATCCTACATAAGTTCTATTATTTACACCCATCTTACAGAAGAGGAAACTGGAGGACAGAAGGCTGAGTAACCTGTTCGAGGTTACAAAGCAACTGAGTAGAAAAGCCCAGATTTGAGTCCAGTGAATACAGGTATGCACTCCCTCCATCCTCTTCTTTCTGAGCTACCATGTTGCACAATAAACAATTTATTTGGTTTGGGACAAGCTAGGAATGACAAATTTGCAAAGTAGAGGTGGAGACCCCGTGGGACACTCACTTTGACAGCATACTCTTTGCCGGTCTGCAGGCTCACAGCACCCTGGACTTTGGCATAGGCTCCCTCTCCCAGCAACTCAGAGGTCAGCTTGTATACATCTAGAGGGAAACAGGTGAGAAGAACCGCAGGTGAGTCACCCCACTCCAAGCCATGGTGGGGACAGCTGCTGTCACTTGGCTTCCTGGGTCTGCTTACCCAGGCCGAAGAGGCCATGCTAACTCTGCAGCCTCAGTGACAAGGACCTCCTAACTTTCCCAGACAGCTCCCGACTCTCAAGAAGATTCAGCAGACCCCTGTTCCTCATTTTAGAGGTGAGGTCCGAGGAGGGGTTTCAGTTCAGAACCTACTTTCTGGGCATCTACTGTGTCAGGTAATATGATAGGGACAGAGTGAGGAACAGAATCCAGCCCCTCCCCTCCAAGGGTTGAGTCCATTATGGAAGGCAAACCTACCCAGCAGCCCAGAGTAACCCAGGCCCTGGTGAGTACCCCAGAGACAGGACGGCAAGAGGGAGGAGTGGGGGAGGAGCAAGCAGGGGAAGTGAATGGGGAAACCCACTGGGCCATCCAGGGATCCTCGAAGAAGGGTTTTATTTGAATGAACAGCATTCATTCATTTACTCATTTGCTGAACACCTACTATGTGCCAAGCTTTGTGCCAGGCATGGAGGATGTGAAGGGAATAATAACAACTATTTTATACATACAAAAGTGGAGGTCACCGGAGGAGCCTCAGAGGTTTCTGAAAGTCACCCACAGGAAACCAAGACACAGAGCAGGATGCAAACAATGCCTTGAGGTTCCAGGTCAGAATGGGCATACAGAGCAGTGACAGACCCAGGCTGGACGAGTGTTCAGAACACTGAAGTTCTCGGAGCCCCTTCCGAAGGAAGCTGTGGCTCTACCACAACCCTTGCTCAGCCAACCTCATCCTCCCTTGCTCCTTCCCCGGCTGTTCTCTTGAGGCAACCTAGGCTTTAAACCCAGGGCCCGGGCAGAAGACTTAATCAATGTCAGATTTTATCATTCTTAGTCATGAGATGTCTGTGCTTGCATCAACTAACCCCGAGTGACAGGAAACTCTTCTGTGTTCAATAAACAAACAAAAGACCTGTTGATCTGTGAACTCTTCTAAAGTCCCAGGTACTTTACTCTCCCCCACTGCCCAAAACACACACACACACACACACACACACACACCAGGTGTGGTGGTGCATGCCTTTAATCCCATCACCTAGGAGGCAAAGCAGATAGATCTCTATGAGTTCAAGGCTAGCCTAGTCTACATAGTGAGTTCTAGGACAGTCAGGGCTAAATAGGGAGACCCTATCTCAGGAAAAAAAAAAAAGAACAAACCATAAACCTCTATACTAAGTACTTTCTTGGTTCCATTCAAGTCTGATCTTGCAGCTGTCTATATGAATGGATGCTACACTGTTCACTATTATTTGTAGGTGATTTAAATGACATGCTTTTCTCCCAGAACATCCTTCAGTACTGGCCCTTTACACATGCCAGGATGTTAGCTGATTGGAGTAAAGTATTCCTGATTCATACAGTGTTTGTTATCAGAACATTCTACAAAACTATCAGTTTGCTGGTATGTGTGCAAGGCTAGGAAGAGGGCCCATGAGGGGAAGCTACTTCAAATGTTACAGTGAAAAGCCATATAAAGGGGATACGCTATTCCTAAAGGTGGCTACTCATCCTTTGACCACTTTAGAGAAACACCCAGTGATTCACATCTTCTCATCGAATGCCCAGTGATAACCCTGGCAGCCCCCAGCCTAGTGCCTTGAGTTTGGTCATCCAAAACGTCTGTTGATGCAACGTCATGTCCCTTGGATGCAATGAATTCTCAAAGGAACCAAGCACACGCAACACAAGTCGCTGCAGCCTCTGGGAGGCCAGCTTCCCACTGGGAGAAGACTGTGGTGTCGCTGCAGCTGTGGCCTGGGTGTTTTCGCTTCCTCTTTCCTGGTTCTTCTGCCTCCCAGCCTTCCAGGAACCACAAGGCGGTGGCTCATATGGAAGAGGGGCGGACACATGGGAGGCTCTCAGCTCTCGAAGACTGGTTGTTCTGCCACTGAGGTGATGCTCACACCACTCAGAGGAGGCCAGTGCCTCGCCTGAGAGATTTGCCCGTCCTTTCTCCCTCTTGACCGCTTCTCACTCACCCCTGTCTTATTAATCACAAGGACAAGCCGGCTCTAAGGTGAGGTGGCCCGGAATCTGGTCCTGTGGATATCAGAGATGCCTCCCCCGCCTGCAGCACTCAGGCCTAGACCAACCTTCAAACTTTCCTGGCAGAGAGTCTGTGGCCCGGGTCTTGCGCTTCTTCTTCCTCCTCTTGTCACTATCCACGATGGGAAGGGGCTCACTGCTGCCCATCTCTGGGAGACAAGAGGGAACGGGAGGGAAATTGCACTGTACCGATCAAGCAGTGAGTTCACTCAGAAGGAGAAAAGAGTGAGACCCAGGAGTTTTATACTGATGGTTTTAAATATCTGTGAGGGATATTGATTTGTTTTGACCCAGGAGGCAAAACTAAAGGCAAAACCATTATAGGAGATCATTAACTGTGGGAAGGGACTCAGACAGGCAGCTAGATTAGGAGAGGGGACCAGAAGTCTGCATTTGCCAAGCTCATTAGCACATGGATTGAGATCTGCCACCAGCTAAACCAGAGTTCCCAAACAGAACAAGCAATCTACAAGCAGGACCCACCTGTGATCATCAGAAAGGGAAGGTCCCTGGGGCTAGGCTCTAGGTAGGAATAGAACCTGATGGTAAAACCAGAAGCTGAGCAATATTTCCATAGATATGCACTGGGGCTGTGAAAGGCCTGCTATACAGTCTGCCTTATCCCCAAAGATATCAAGATGGGTAGGGGGGCTGGGTTGAGAATAGCCCCCAATTTCTTCACTTCCAGGAGCACAGATGAGTGCCACATCACCCTCTCCTTCCCTGGTCCTTCCTTGCAAGAATGCAGGGAGGCCTGCAGCTGACAAGTCTAAGACAGGCTGCTGGATGAGGTCACTGATTGTAAAAACATCATTATCTCTCCCTGGCAGGCACCTGGCTCCCATGCTGGCAGACACAGACACGGGACATATTGGGCAGGAAGGGTCAGGACAGAACGAGGCAGCAGGAGACTGGGATGGGAAGGAGAAAAGGAGGACCAATGAGAGCCAACCGCAGTTTTGTTTCTAGGCCACTCTAGTAGGGTCCTTCCCCTGTTAAAGATAAATTACTTATAGAACATGTCATGCCCCTGATCCAGAGTGGAGCCTTAATACTCTTTGCCTGCAGTTAGAAATAATAAGATTTCTCTGAAGTCTCTGGGTCTAAATCCCCACCAGGGTGATTAAACCTCTACATCCTTCTAAAATAGAGAGGCACCCGAGAGCTGATGGGCAGAGGATGTGAGGGACTTTTACACCAAACTTCAATAAACATAGGCTCTGAGGGTTGGTTTTTCCTGAGAAATTTAAAATGGAATCTGGCTCTTTGCTCACTGAGGGGAAGGCTCACTCCCTCCTCCAAGGATCTGATGGAAGATTGCTTAGTGCCACTGCCCAAATCCATGCTGTGCATAGAGGCAGGCGCTTGGCAGCTGTTAGCAGGAAGCATGCAGAAGGGCACTTTCAACACCACAATCCAGAAAGTCCAGGTAAGCAGCCCAGCAGCTGACAGCCCTACTTAGAGGCATCCATCCTTCCATTTTAGGGAACTGCTAACAGCAGGGTTTCAATTATACTCCAGAATAGAGAAGAAAAAACACACAGATAAAAAGAATCCACAGAGTATCTAAAAATACTACTCCTGCCAACAGCTTCAAGCACAAGTTCTACCTGGCGACAATGCCATGTGACTCTCAAAGGATTAAATACTGCCATGGAAGTAGCCACACTCATAAGGTAAATTATAAGGAAAAATGCTATCCAGATGCATTTACAGGACGTGGTGAGAAATCCCTCAGAAATAAAGCACAAGGCCATTCATCTTTGAAGGTTTAGAGGAGGGGGACAGGATGGGGTGGGACTGGACCCGACTGGACCATTGTCCCTCTGGTGTGCAATCTAGTGTCAACGCTTGTCCCGACCATTTTCTCACCAGGGCTGCAAACCCAGAGCGGAGTGAACAGATTGTGGTTCCAGCTCCTTCACCCTCCCCTGGCCACACTCCGATTAGTGGCCTGTGGACAAACCAAACAGCCAACAGGCAGGCGGTGTGGAGAATAGGAGGAGCGCCAGAGGCATTGGGACTCACAGGGGACTCTCAGACATACTTACAGCTCTAGATAGAAAACCCCGTTAGTGGCAATTTATACGTGCTCTTTACCACAGCAGGACCGTGGAGCCTCTGGTGGAAGCAGCACACCCCTGGGCAGAGCCACACGCTCAATATTAGATTTTATGGCTTCACACACAAAGACAGAATACCTGGTCTATTCTGCATGGATCTCAACGGAAGAAAGTACGTCAGAGGGGACAAATGGTTAAGGTCTTTCTTGCAAACAGAACTTGTTGAGGGAGAGTTGTTTTTTGAAACTAGGAAGGAAACATGTATAAAAACAGTGAAATGAAAGAAGCATGCATAACTTACCCTGTTTTCACAGCAAGAGGTAATGGGTGGGAGATGTTGCTGGGAATGAGGTGGGCCACACTCTAGTTTTATCGCAGAGTATGTCTCAGCCACTGGACAAATGCATCCTCAGGGAAGCCCCACAACCACACTGCACCTTCACCTCCCTGATTCCCTGCTGTAGGAGTTCTTCCTGGCCATGAAAGCCGGCTCAAAAGTCCTAACCCCACGCAGCTCCCCAATAACTCCAGATGAGTTACGGTGTGTGCACCCAATCACTCTGGAAGTCAGGCATGAGGCAAATGGGGTAGTACTGTGTAGAACTAGTGGCTGGAATTCCAGCCTCTGTCCCCAAGTCTCCAAGAGAAGCTCCACTGGGACACTGATCTTCTCTGGCTTTGATCATTCCCTGTGTTCCTACTGTCTCCTCTGCACCTCTGTCTCTTCTATAAGTCACAGTACAGCATCAGGTGAATATCATCCATCATAAATTGCACTAAAATGGAAATCGTATATGGCACATATGGTTCACGGCACACAGGCCCCTTGGGTGTCCAGTGTATACTCTGAAAGAAATGTGGGCACGCGTGTGCCTTGCAGATGATGCGGGGAAAGGGTAGTCTAGGCTACGAATCCCATCAACTCTATCACATTCCCTCTCCTAAAAGATCTCAGACACAAAAGGTCCTTAACTTATTTTCTAGAAGCCTGGTCCTCTTTTAGACTAGGTAATGTGAGGAGAAAGTGAGCAAGCAGTTCTTTTCAGGTTCCAACAAGCAGTGGTCTGGGGGCTCCCAACACTTCTACCGCCTCCAGCCCTCACTCTCACATCAGCAGGGCTTGGGGACCCCATCTGTGTATTCTGGTAGGCACACGTGGAATGAGGGGAGGCACACTGTAGACAGGGAAGGCACATGGGCCTGGGTCAGGAGAACAAAGAGACATTCTGGTGCTGGCATTACCAGACAACCTCAAGGTCAAGCAACTCTGCCTCTTAAGAGCCTAGTTCCTTCATCCTGAGAACTGGTTTAAAAACACACCTCCCCGTCTGCCTGCTAGGTTGTTCTAAGATCCCAACGACACAGTCAATACAAATGTGCTTCAACTGGCTTGCCCCAGTGATCAGACTGGTGAATACCTTAACTGTCGTAACAGAGCTTTTCTCCAATGACTGATGGAAGCAGATGCAGAGATCCACAGCCAGACACCAGGCAGAGCTCCAGGAGTCCAGTCAAAGAGAGAAGAGGGATTCTATGAGCAAGTGCATCAGGATCATGATGGGGAAACATGCAGGGACGACCAAACCAAACTAGAGGGAGCTCATGAAAGCTGGATCAAAGGCTGTGGAGCCTACGTGGGACTGGACTAGGCCCTCTGCATGGTGTCACAGTTGTGTAGCTTGATCTGCTTGGGGGTCCCCCTGGCGGTAGGATCAGAATCCATCCCTGGTGCATGAGGGGGCTTTTTGGAGGCCACTACCTATGATGGAACACCTCGTGCAGCCTTGAGGCAGGGGGAAGGGCTTGGACTTGCCTCTACTAGATGTGCCTCCCCATGGGAGGCCTTCCCTTCTTGTGGGTGGGAATACGGGGTGGGTTGGGAGGGGGAGGCTGGGGAGGTGGGAGGAGGAAAGGGGGGATCTTTGGTGTGTAAAATGAATGAAAAAATTTTCTTAATAAAAAGAAGGGGGAAAAATAAAAAGAGAACACAGATTTTAATAGCCAAAAAAAAAAAAAACAAAAAACAAAAAACAAAAACAAATGTGCTTCAAAAAATGTGCATAGTTATGTATGCATACATATGAACACACACAGAATGGGAAGCCTTGCAGAAAGGCAAGAACCTGTTACTATTACAATTTAAAGTGTGCCAACAAACTGTCCAGAGCCGGGCTGCGTAGTTTATATGCTTTTTAAAAAACAGTCTGTACTATTTTTAATTTATAGACATGCTTTATGTGATGGGGTGGTTTTTATTTTCTTCTTCATCCTTTTCAGGATTTTCCAAGTTATATGTGACTGAAATTTATCATTTTATCCCATTTTGTCTGAATCAAATTGTACTTTAAACAAGATAAATGGGCTGGGGTGGTGCATGGAGCTCAGAGTTGGGGCCTGCAAGGAGCTCAGTGGCAGAGCTTTTAGCATCTTCAAGGCCTCAGTTTTGATCTTCAACACTGGGAAACCTTTATTGAAAACACTTTGTAATTTAGAGGCTGATTACAGTTTTTCAAATTGTGTCTAGATTTCTCTGTATTAAAATCCAGTGTTTAGCTGGGTGTGGAAGCAAAAGCCTTTAATCCTAGTACTCAGGAGGCAGAGGCAGGCGGGTCTCTGTGAGTTCAATGTCAGTCTGGTCTACAAATCAGGAGTCAAGGCAGGGCCACACAGTGAGTCCCTGTTTAAACAATGGTGGAGAGCAATTGAAGAAGTTGTTTGGTGCCAACCTCCTGCCTCCACACCTCTGTGCACAAATGTATATCTGCACTTACATACAGACACACATGTATACATCCATATGAACAGATTATGTTGGAAGTATAGCTGTATAGATAGGTTTTAAGGATACAGATCTAAGACCCAGCCTGGCACCTTCACTCATAGAGCAATCGGGAGAGGCCAAGGAGTCCTGGGGCTGGGGGCACAACCCATAGCAATAACAGGTACTAGCCACTGCTCTCCCTAGACAAACTCAAGGTCTTCTTTCCAAAGTAACTGTCAATTCTTGACAGAGCCTAATGAGTCAGGCCCACTGTCACTCAGGTTACCAGACACACACTCTTTGGTAGAGTCTATACACAGATTGCCAGCTTTCATGTCTCATGTAAGCTGAATCATATGGTTCACTTATCTCTGCAAATAACTCCTACTCACTCCCTGCTCCAACTCTGGAGCTCTTTGAGGATCCCAATCTTCCTTCGTTCTGAAGGGCTTCTTAGAAAAGAATGGTGGAGAGCAGGTTGAAGGGCACAATCAGAGACAAATTCAGCTGCTTCCTCAGGGTCAGCTGAGGAGAATGGGCAATGGGAGGAAACCGAGGGTCTGGGAGTAGCTTCGTAAGAGTGCTTGTCTACCACGCACAGGACCCCAGGGCCCATCCCCATCAGCAACCATAACAAAACCACAGACAAAAACAGAAATGGAGGAACTGAAGGAAGTTTGGCACACACTTAAGGGAGGGGTTGAGTAAGCCATGTGAGATAAGAGAAGAGGAACCTAGGAGACTGGGGTCATCTGTGCCTCTGTAGCAACACAAGTCACGGTGCACACCACCATAATCTTTACAGTGCACACTCTCAAGTGGTCTGCATGTGCCAGGCAATGTCTGAAGTCCGTTACAGTTACTATACTCTACAGACTCACTGATGCAATCACCACAACTACGAGGAAAGCATAATTGTTGCCTATATTTTACAAACGAAGAAACTGACACAAACTGGTAAATGTGCTAGGTCATGCTCATCTAGTGAGTAAGCAAACCGCAGTGTAGAATGTAAGCCTGGACTCTGGCTCAAGAATGTAAGCTTCTAACCTGTGATGATGCTGTTCTCAAACACTAATGCTGGAAGGCAGAGGTGGGAGCTGGTGACAGCCAGGCACCAGTGCTATTGTTTATAAATCTTAGTACAGTGCTTCTTTACTGATGTACTGTGCTGGATAATTTTATGTCAACCTGACACAACCTAGAGTCATCTGAAAGGAGGCAACCTCAATTGAGAAAATGCCTCCATAAGATCTGGCTGTAGGGCATTTTCTTAATTAGTATTTAATGAGGGGAGAGCCCAGCCCATTGTAGGTGGGGCTATCCCTGGGCTGGTGGTCCTGAGTTCTATAAAAAAGCAGGCTGAGCAAGCCATGGGGAGCAAGCCAGTAAGCAGCACCTGTCCATGGCCTCTGCATCAGCTCCTGTCTCCAGATTCCTGTCCTGTTTGAGTTCCTGCCCTGACTTCCTTCAGTGATGAACTGTTACCTGGAAGTGTAAGCTGAAATAAACCCTTTCCTCCACAACTTGCTTTTGCTCATGGTGTTTCATCACGGCAACAGAAACTCTAAGTAAGACAAGTGCTATGAGATTCTGATATCTCAGCAGGCCTCCAGTCCCTCAGCTCCCTGTTTACACACGAGTTTCTTGCATGTGCTCCAATGTCAAAAAGGTTGGGAAGCTCTCTTCTAGTTTACCTAAACACAAAGGCCTAATAGTCACATCCTCACTACTATATTAACTTTAACCTTCCAGAAGTCTCTTCTTGCCCTGAGATGCCATAGTATTTTGTGTTTTGTCATCTTATAGAAAACGAACTACAAACCAATGTCTAAGCACATTATTTATGGCGGTCCAGAATGAAGTATAAGGTGACAATCTTCTCCTGTCTGACCTGGGAGTTTGTAGATGTGGTTTCTGATGACGTCACTAGGTAGAAAGGGAAAGGGAAAAGGCATATTTGAGCAGAAGCTGATCAAATTTCACAAGACAGTAAATGTCAGGAGCCATGTATGAAATTAGCTCCATCAGAGGATAGTCTGTGAGATTCCACAGAGCTGGAGGAATTTTTTAATTTCAGGACCTCTGTGTTGGTTTGAAAGGAAATGGCCTGCAAAGGAAGTGGCACTATTGGGAGGTGTGGCCTTGTTGGAGGAAGTGTGTCACTGTGGGAGTGGGCTTTGAGGTCTCCTATGCTCAAGCTACATCCAGAGTCACAGTTCACTTCCCGTTGCCTGCAGATCAAGATGTAGACCTCTCAGCTCCTTCTCCAGCACCATGTCTACCTGCATGCCACCATGTCCTGCCATGATGATAATGGACTGAACCTCTGAAACTGTAAGCCACCCAATTAAATGTTTTCCTTGATAAGAGTTGCCGTGGTCACGGTGTCTCTTCACCGCAATAGAAACCCTAACTAAGACAACTTCCAGTGTAAAAGGCTGGGCCATGTGGTTCAACACAGCTGCAGTGAAATGGCATCAGGGAGATGCTTTATAGGCTGTGATACTCAGATGCTAAGGGGCAAACACTCAGACTCATCTTCTCCCCCTGCTCTGATCCTGGGGTCACAAGGAGCCCTCATAGCCACACTGCAATTCCTGGTGGAAGGAACGACATCAGAAGGATATGGAAGCAGAAACAGGAAGTATGTGTTTACAGAACATGAAACAAAGTGGTAGCAAAGGGCAGGGCTTGGGTAGGAAGCATACTGTAAAGGCTGAGAAAAGCAAGCTAAGCTGGCCATGTAAGCTCATATAACACAGTCCACAGGCCCTCCAGCACCGTATTCTTCCCACCCTTAATAACACCCATCATTCTTCCACAGAAAAGGACAACAGCTGCTTCTTGCTCAGCTTACAAACAGTGCTTACAAGTGCCATTCCTTGGTATGTCATTGTTGTGCTTTGCTACGCCAAAGAAGGGCCTTGTAAGTGCATCTTCTATACATCATACAGACCACTAGAAGACAGACGGTCCTCAGGTGAGACTCAGAAAAATGAACATCTTCTGCTGCTTCATCAAGGCCATTCTTAAGCTAAAATGGCTAAGTAGCTGGCATGGAGGAACCTGGCTGTGAGCACGGCTCCACGCCACGGCCCTGACTTGTACTAAGGCATCAGCAGCTTCCTCACTGTCACTGTGCAACCACAAATAATACTTTTGATCTTGCAGATCCCCTGGAAGGGTTTCTGTGCGGCCCACTTGTGAACCTCTGTTCTAGCCAATGAGGAGGGAGGGAGGAGTACTATGGCCTTCAAGCTGGCTGTGACACACAGTGCAAACAGCAGATGCTGAGAGACAAGGTGGACTGAGGCTGCGGCAGCAGGCCGGAGAGGCGAGGAAGGTCTGCGCCAGGGGCAGGGGCAGCAGGGATCGGAGGGAAGGGCATGTTATGGAGCCAGGGAGGAAGCCGCAGAGGCAGAAATGGTCCCGTCAAACGATGGGAGACAGTGGAGGAGTCACTGTCCTTGACAGTTATGACCATCCTTGAAAGAGAGGCCAATGTTTGATTCTTCTCTAGCCCCATGGCTTAGCACGGGATCAGCCACAGAGCAGGGCCTCAGTGCAGGTCTATTAATACGTGCTTTTCAACCGGCAGTGTTATCAAGAAGGGGGGACTCTATGGGGGGGAGGGGAGGGGCGGCTCTGGGAGTGGGGAGCAGGGTAAGAGGGCAGTGTCACCACGAAGCTTCAGGTGAAGACAGCTGACACACAGCTGTTGAGTATTATGAAAAAGCACAGGACAGGCTACAACAACCTTACTCAACCCTCATGTGTCCCAAATCAGTCACTGAGGCTTGACTGATACCTGCCAGGCATGACGAGGCCTCTCCAGCTAGAGCAAACCACAGGACACACCGCAGCCTCAGCATCTGTGCCATGTGTGAGATATAAAAAACAAACCAACAAACCAACAGGATTTCCAACATTTCCTTGGGAGAACAAGACTCCATGGGCACACACATTTTACTTTTTACAGTTTCTGCTGTACTTGGTTCGCCGTGCTATGACGTGGTAGCTTTACTTTCATAGTCAAAAGGAAATAAACATGTTTTACTTACTGTTCCATTTTCCTTCTGTCCCTCTGCCATTTTGTTCCAGAAGAAATGTGACCCTGTTTACTACGTAACTGTCACAGGAAGTGACTGGGACCTGAGATGGCTAAGTCAAGCCACCCAAGCAAATACTGAAAACCATCAACTGCTCAGATGACCCTGAACTCATCCTTTTCTCTGGAAATGGGAGGGAAGCTCAATTCAAAGTAATGTGAGAAAGGTAAATGGGGACTGGCAAGATGGCTCAGTGGGCAGAGGGACCTGTCTCCAGTCTGATGACTTGAGTCTGACCCCTGGGACCCACTCGGCAGAAGAAGAGAACTGACCTCTGAAAGTTGTCCCGTGACCTACACACACAACATGACAGCCACAGCCCATCTCCAACGAACACAAAGTAATTAAAGCTGTGGCTGTAAAAAAAAAAAAAAAAAACAAAGGGAGGCGGTGAACAGTTCACCCCATCTTACCCACAAAATTCTTCGACTCAGCAGCGAGGCTCGTGAAATCCCAGAGGAATCCCAAGGTTGTCGTCTTCCAGACACAGGGAGCTATCCACTGGCCTCTGCCTGGCCAATGTCCTTCAGTTTGCCACCTGTCTCTGCTTCATCCCATCCAACATGGAAATCTTCAGGAAGCAGAAGGAGAGAGGGTGTGAGACTTGATGTCTTCAAGGGGACCAGGGAGACACTGATCCACCCAAGAGCCCCCTCTCTGTGAGTTACACTAGGAAGCGATGTGTACACAGGAATCACAGATGTCCCCGGGCTTTAAAACTGATGGGTGACTGAAAATACTTATGCCAAACAGAAGATTTATCAAGGGTCTGAATAAAGAAATTTCAAATAAAATAAATAAATAAATAAATAAATAAATGGCTGTTATGTAGAACTGAATAGTATT